CACTGCAGTCGGAAGCTTAGCCAACTATGCCAAAGCATTGGCCCCAGATAACCTTTTTTAAAGATTTGCTTATTTGTTTGACAGAGAGAACAGATTGAACCATCAGCTGGTTCAATCCCCAAATGTCTGCAGCAACTGGGCCTGGGTCAGACAGAACCAGGAGCCTGGAAATCCATCTGGGTCTCCCAAGCAGATGGCAGGGACCCACGTTCTTGAGCCGCCATCTGCTGCCTTCCCAGGCACATTAGCAGGAAGCTGGATCAAAAATGGGGCAACTGGGACTTGAACTGGCGCTGACACGGGAGGCTGGGTCACGAGCAGTGGCAGCACCACAGCTGGGGCCCAGGAGTCAGGTGCTTTGCGCAGGGGTCCTCCCCTGGGAGGGTCCGAGACCGTGGAGTGTCAGCTCCTTTGTGCTGGTGGCCCCGCTGCTGGACAAGGCTCTCAGGCAGTGGGGGGAGGGGCAAAGCTGCCTCTTAGGGTTTATCCAGCAGGGTCCTTCTGGGACCCTTGGGTGGCCGCTCTAAGGGAGCAGCGGTGGCCCACACCAACCACTCACACCGCTCCATGTGCACACACACTCACATACACACATTCAGTCCCACACGGAGTCACAGTCACACTCACACACATACACACACTCTCAGGCTCATGTCCTTCCATGTGAACACACACAACCCCACGTGTACATGCCCCGACCCTCCCACACACTCATACACACACATTCACAGTCTCACACCATCACGACACACTCATACACTCTCACAGTCACACACACACGTGCACACACTCATACACTCATTCTTGCAAGGTGTCTGGCGCGTAACAGATCTTCCCAGGCAGACAAATCGATTAATTCACAGGCTTTTATTGGGGTTCCGCTCCCTGGCGAGGTTCCCCGGTCCCAACAGAGCAACAGAGCGGGGGCCGGGGAAGTCCCGCGTCAGAGATTGGGAGAGCTCCTTTTATAGATTCAGGGCATGGGGGTTAAAGGTTGAGGCGGGTCTGACCCTCACTGGTTGACCTTTAGGCACCCGCGGGGACCTTGACAAGGACTTTCTTCCCCGGAAGTAGGCCTCTCCATTCCCGGAACTGTAGGCCTTCCCTCCTTGCGGGTCCCAAAGCTACCATCCTCACACCCACATTCACAGTCTCACCATCACGACACACTCATACATCCTCACACAGTCACATACACACACGTGCACACACTCACTCTCACACCCCATTCACAGTCTCACCACCACAACACACTCATACATTCTCACAGTGACACACACACACACGTGCACACACACTCACTCTCACATCCCATTCACAGTCTCACCATCACACGCACACTCATGCACTCTCACACGGTGACACACATACACACTCACACATGCACACACTCACTCATGTCCTTCCATGTGAACACACACAATCCCACGTGTACATGCCCCAACCCTCCCACACACTCATACACACACATTCAGTCTCACACCATCACGACACACTCATACATCCTCAGTGACACACATACACACACATGCACACACTCATACACTCACTCTCACACCCCCATTAACAGTCTCACCATCACACGCACACTCATGCACTCTCACACAGTCACATACACACACTCACTCTCACACCCCATTCACAGTCTCACCATCACAACACACTCATACATCCTCACACAGTCACATACACACACGTGCACACACACTCACTCTAACACCCCATTCACAGTCTCACCGTCACACGCACACTCATGCACTCTCACACAGTGACACACATACACACTCACACATGCACACACTCACTCATGTCCTTCCATGTGAACACACACAATCCCACGTGTACATGCCCCAACCCTCCCACACACTCATACACACACATTCACAGTCTCACACCATCACGACACACTCATACATTCTCACAGTCACACACTTACACACACATGCACACACTCATACACTCACTCTCACACCCCCATTCACAGTCTCACCATCACAACACACTCATACATCCTCACACAGTCACATACACACACGTGCACACACACTCACTCTCACACCCCATTCACAGTCTCACCATCACACGCACACTCAGGCACTCACACAGTGCCACACTCATATGCACACACACACACTGACACACACACACACAGCAGCCCCTGGGGAGGCTCAGCCAACCTCCCAGTGTCTGCCACAACCCTTGAGTGTCCGAGGGCCTCGCTGTCACACGCTCCAGCCTGCTCCACCTGTACCCAGCTGACACCAGGCAAGCCAGGTGTCGTGGTGCCTTGCTTTCCAGGTGAGGCAGCTGAGATAACCCTGCAGGTTTTGCAGGATAAACAAGGTGTGAGGCAGGAGTGAGGGGTGAGGCTGGAGGCTCCTCCCAGGGCAGGATCGGGGCCCGGGGGTGGGCAGTTAGGGGTGCGTGCTGACCCCTTGCTCCCAGGGAAGTCCGAGGGGACAGGGACTTTGCAGCTGGCTGTGGTGCCAGCACGCCTGGGCGCGATGGGGCTCAGCTCTCACAGCTGTGTGACCTTGGGCAAAGCTGCTTCCCCTTGCTGAGCCCCCAGCCTCGTCCTCTGTTAACTGGGGGCAAGCGCTTCACCTCGCGGTGCTAATGAAATAGTCTGTGCGAAAAGACTGGCGGATTGCAGGTATTTAACTAACTCAGGGCTAAAGATAAGACACAGCCCTGCGTGTACGTGAATTGCACTCGCACAGATTCGACCAGCTGTGGACTGAAAATATCTGGAAAAGAAAAAGCTGCGTCTATATGGAACACATGCGGGTGTTTTTCTCATTGTTGCTGCCTAGGACTACAGGGGGAAAGAACTTTTGCCACCTGGACTTTATAACACCATTGCGGTTATAACCTAACCCTAACCCTAACCCTAACCCTAACCCTAACCCTAACGTCCAGAACGATCAGCTTACAGGTAGCCCGCTATGGAGTTACTGAATTTCGCGTCCTGCCTGTGGTTGCCTTGGCAGTGCCAGACCAGGGCATTTCGTGGGCCGGATGCTCCCACCCCGGGAGCCTGAACGATACAGGAGAGCCGCTGTTTCCATGGCGTGCGCTCTGTGTCAAGTGTCAAAGTCACCTAAGATGACTTGAAGTGCAGACGGCTGTGCCAACCCTGCACCTTAGAGAACCCCGCCCCCCATGACAGAGACGGCCGTGACAGCGGCAGCAACCCAGCCGCTTATTATCTCCCCACAGCTGCCCTGCACCCAGCGGAAGTAGGAGGAACCTCCGGTTGATGGGTCTGCACGAAGCACCTACTATGTGCCAGGGCGCACAGGGGCGGATGGCCTGTCCTTGAGTTAGCGGGGGTCCCCACGTCAGCCCGCAGGTCCGGCCTGGGGGAAGGGATGCCCTTTCCCGCCGTGCACGCCCCAGTACCTTGCCCAGTGCCAGGCTCTGGGTCCCGGGACTCAGGAGGCAGAGCTGTCCTTTCCCTCTCCCTGTCCCCGAGTGACTGGAGCTGGCTGGGAGGGAGGGCTCTGACTCACCATGATGCAGGCTGCTCGTGCTTGGTCATGGCTCAAAGCGGCTGGCAGCCTGACAGCTCTGGGGCAGAGGGGACAGAAGAGGACCCCCCGCAGAGAGGTCAGGACAGCTCACAGGGGGAGAGAAGGCTTGGGGACCCCCACACCAGCCTCAGACAGGACGAGGAGGAGGAGGCTGGCCAGCAGCCCCACCCAGGGCCCTCGCTCCCTCACCAGCTCAGGGACATAGCTGGCCGTGTACAGCTATCTGGTCGACCCAGCCTGCAGCATTCCAGCTGGTCGGAACATCCAACTCAGCCCCTTGTGGTACAGACTGGCTCTCAGAGGCAGGGTGTGGGCTCGCCCAAGGTCACACAGCAAACGGATAGCAGAGTGGGCTAGACCCCAGCCTCGCTGTCAGCCCCGCACGGCGCTGGGCGGGGGAGGGCGCCTCTCCCCTGCACGTCCACGCTCACCTTCCCAGACCTTGGAACTCTGCCGCAGCGGACCCTGTGCAGGCAGCTCCAAGAACGCGCCGCCTCCCCACTCCCCCACAGCCCTGTGACCTGCAGCTGCCCGTCCCCAGCGGGCTCCTGCCCATGACAGGGAGCAGAAGCTGGGCGAGCGCTCCAGGCTGTGGCCTTCACCCCTGGCTTGGCCCCCGGCTCCTGCAGCCCCCACCCCCACCCTCGCTCCTGTGCGGCCATAGACACACACCAGCGCCGAGTCCCTGGCCTGCTGTGGGCACCAGAGCGTGGAGAGGAGACTGCAGGGCTGGGCCAGAGAACAGTTCATCAGCAGGGCCACTTCAGCGATGACTCAGACCAGACCCTGCCCAGGCGGTCCTGGGGGGGTGCGGGGAGGGGGCGCAAGGGGATGGTGTGGGGCTCCAGGCGCACCTCGCTCGGGGCAGGGCGGACAGCACTGCCTCCCCAGCGTGTGAGAGGAGCGTCACTCCCGCCAAGGGCATGCGGATGGCTTCCAGGCAGCGGTGAGCCGGCAGCAGATGTTGTGGGATGCCGGCAGCCGGGGCGTGTGCGGAGCTCTGGCGGCACTGCTGGCATAGGTGGCATCCTGGGGACCAGTGGGTCCGCCCGAGGCCTGGACGCTCCTTAGGAAAGGTGGCGCCCAGTAGAAAGAAAGGACAGAACCGGGAGCCTGGCAGACCTGAATTTGAATCCTGTGCCCCAGACAAAGCACAGGAGGTGCCCAACAAGCGTGTGCTGAATGAAGGCAAAAAACAGACCTAGGGGCCGGCGCTGTGGCACAGCGGGTTAACGCCCTGGCCTGAAGCTCCGGCATCCCCTATGGGCGCCGGTTCGAGAACCAGCTGCTCCTCTTCCAGTCCAGCTCTCTGCTGTGGCCTGGGAAAGCAGTGGAGGATGGCCCAAGTCCTTGGGCCCCTGCATCCATGTGGGAGACCCAGAGGA